CAGGATCTATGTTCTCATGCAACAATGACTGTGCATTTGTAAAGGTCAGTTTTATGACCAGCTGCAGAGAGTGAATAAAAAACACATATACCCGTAAAAGCTGGCTGAAACCAGGAAACTGTTGGCTAGAAGTCCAGACCTTCACCGAGCTCTAGTTAAAACTTCAATGTGACACATAGACATTTCTGTGTGCTCTGGCTGCTCTGACTTCACAGAAGGAACTCAGCCTTACCGCACCCACACCCTCAGTCTCCTTACTGGCAAAAGTGTTCACTCCCTTTTCCATCCCTATGTTCACATTGGTTGACCTACCTGATGTCCTCTCCTCTGTCTTCCCTGCTTCCATCTTTAAAAACAGATGTTTATTCATATATTTTGTTTTAACATCACCTATATTTTCCCTTGTGACCCTTTGCCTACTCCCTCCCAGAGGGCCATTTCATATCCTAATGAATGCCTCCTCTTTTCAAGGCATAGGTCAGATTCTCTTCCTTCAGCTCTCACTCACTTCCTTGTATTCTTTCTTATGTGGTGGGAAGAACACTAGAATCAAAGGCAGTGGTTGTTTTGTCGATTAGCTGTGTCCAACTCTTTATGAGCCCTTTGGAGTTTTCTTGGCAAAGATACTGAAATGGTTTACCAGTTCCTTCTCCAGCTCATTTTACAGATCAGGAAAGTGAAGCAAACAAGGTTAAGTGACTTGAACAGGGTCACACAGCTAGTAAATGTCTAAGGACAGATTTGAACTCAGGTCCTCCTGACTCGAAGCCCAGCACTGTATCCACTGTACCACCTTGATATCAAATCCTGGCTCTACCACTTACTAATGTTTTGACTTGTGGGCAATTCACTCAGTCTCTGTATGTTTCATGGGACTCAAACCATTTTCCTTTTACTATCACGATACATGAAATGTTACCTCAATATACCACTCCTCAATAGGATTGCCAGGCCTGGGAAAGTGCTGAGGCACTGAAGCAGATGGGGCTCTGTCTGAATTTTATAGAAACATACATGCAAATTAAAGTTAGTTTCCTCATCAGCAAAATAAGTAGGTTGGACTAAATATTCTTGAAGGTCCCTTCCAATCCACAGTCTACAATCCTTTGATTTTCTATATATTGTCTTGTCTTTGGGGACACAAATCATGCCAGTCTTATGCTCTTAGATTCCCTATATTACCTAGTAGCTGCTTACTAAATTCTTCTGGTTTATTAAATCAAAATCATTAGGCTTGTCAAGATTAAATTATCCTGATGATCGTACAAAATGACTTTCAACGTTCCTTCCCAATCAAAAATTGTATGGCTAAGGCACTCAAGGGAACCCTGGTCCTGACCTGATAACCATAATATTTAGAACTTGAAGGAACCCTAAAGACCAAATCTGTTTCCTTCATTTCACATATGAGGAAACTGAAGCCCAAAGCGAGGTAAGGCTTGCCCGTTAATAAATAAAATATATATATAATAATATTATATATATATATAATATATATATATATATATATATATATATGTATGTATATATCATTAATAATTGCCTCAGTTAATAAGTAGCCATGCCAGGTCTTGAGGTAATCCTTTGGCCTCAAAATCCAGTGTTCTCTCAGCTACAGTACATGGCTATTCTAAAGAGAGTCTAGAGTTTTATTTTTTTATCTTAACCATATTTTCCTCCTATAATTTTTATAAATATATAAATATAATGCCTACTGGTGTTATATAGCTACTTAATGTTTTTTAACTTTTAAAGAAAAATCTCTTTATTGATCTACTATTGTCCTCTTTTTTTTAAAGCCTAATTAGGAATTTTCAATATATTTCCAAAATAATTCTTCTTATAGACACATACAGGATTTAGAGGTCATTTGATCCAATTTCTTTATTTTATAGATGAGGAAACTGAGGCTCAGACATATTAAAAGACTCTCTCAAGGTCACTCAGGTATTAAAATGACAAACTAGGATTTAAAAACAGGTCTTCTGGCTCCAAAACTAGTTGTCTTTCTAAACTAACTATAATTTGCATGTATGTTTCTATAAAATTCAGACAGAGCCCCATCTGCTTCAGTGCCTCAGTACTTTCCCAGGCCTGACAATCCTATTGAGGAGTGGTATATTGAGGTAACATTTCATGTATCATGATAGTGAAAGGAAAATGGTTTGAGTCCCATGAGACATAGGGAAAGCTATGAAATCCCAAAATCTCCAAGTTGCAAAGGAGATTATTCCTACTTCAGAGACCGTGGAAGATAAGGAAGCTTAGGGATGGAAGGAATATGAAAGTTGTTTTTTAAAGATTAAACAAGAGTAGTTAAGTGATTTGGCCAAAGACACATAGCTAGGAGGCTGCCAAGCTGTGTCTCAAAGATTATTTGAGTTACAGAATAGCCCAATCTATGCACTAAAAGAGAGGTGTTATAATAGATTTCTGCTGCATGCATGAGAGGGAATATGTGTATTATTAGATTGTAAAATCTGACTTTCAGTATGACCATGAAATAAAAAGTACAGTCAAACTTTCCTGGGCCTCAATCCCCCACCTATAAAATTTAGCTATAAAAAGTGTCAGCCTAGTATGTAAAATGTGTATGATTATCCTAGTCAATACCACAATAATCAACATAGCAAGTAGTTAGGATTCATATATTGTAATCAAGCTAGTATCCATTTTTTCCATGCCTGACCCAGATTCCAAGTCTAAGAAGCCAAGGTTCATCTCTCAGCTGAGTATTTTCACTGACTGTCCTCACACCCTGAACTCTCTTTCTCCTGATAGCTACTTCCTGCCTTCCTGGCCTTCCTCCAAACCTTAGCTAAAGTTCTACCTTTCCAAGAAACCTTTCCTAATCCCTCTTCATCTTAGTGCTTTCTTTCTGAAACCATCCTCAATTTGCATGTTGTCTTCCTCATTAGACTATGAGCTCCTTGAAAACTCAGACTGTTTTTTGCCTCTCTTTACATACTCATTGTTTACCACAGTGTCTAGCACATAGCAGGTGCTTATTAAATGCTTATTGGCTGACCTACAGAAGCAATAGTAATCATAGTAATTGTCATCACCACTGCAGTAGTGGTGGTGGAAGCGACAGAGTAACTAACAATTACATACCTCTTTAAAGTTTGCAAAGGGCTGTAGCAATTTAATATTTTAAAACTTTTCTTTCAAGAACTCGCTGCCCACTAAATTAAGCTAAAGTCAACTAGCACTTATTAAACATTTTATTCCATTTCATTCTCATAACATCTCTGTTAGTAAAAAAAAAAAAGAACAAGTATAATTGCATGCTTTAAAGAAACTGAGGAAACAGAGCAGTTGAATTATTTGCACGAGGTTATATGGTCAGTAGCTAGGCAAAAGCAAGAATGAGGCTCTTCTGACTGTCCACTTAATGCTCATTCTGTAACTTGTATCAAATCCACACGTTAGTCAAATTGTGTAATGATAAATGCCATTGCATTGATAAAATCCATATCTCTAAAGTATCATTTCCAACTGCATTTAAGTGATATTTAATTCAATTAAATTCTAACACAGCAAGAGAATTACAGCAATGTTTCGAGTTGTAATGACAGTGTAAGAATCCCAACATGTTTGGCAACTCTAATAAAATGAAATTGAAAAAGGGACATGGGTCATAAGATCACAGATACAGAGCATGGAAAAGACTCCACAGGTTTTCTAGTCTGTCCTCCTCATTTTACAGAAAGGGAAATTTGAGGCCTGGGGAAGTTAGGTGGCTTACCCAAGGTCACACATAGTTAATCATCAGAAGAGGGATATGAGCCCAGGTCCTTTAACTCCAGAGTTATTCTCTTCACTGAGCTCAGAAATCAACTCTAGAAGTCCAGGATTGGGGAAACATGGCTATCTCAACAGTGAGCCCACATTTGGAATATTTTGTTCAGTTATGGCCGCTGCCCTTTAAAAAAAAGATGTTGTCAATCTGAATATTCCCAGAGGAGGGCAGCCAAGATGGTGAAAGAATTATAGACCAGACCACTCAGGGATGACCTGGAGAAGAGAAGAATTGAAGCTGTTATAGTAGAAAGATTTAAGCGTTTGAAAGATTCTCATGTGGAGTAGGAATTAGATTTTCTCTGCTTGGTCTTCAAGGTCAGAACCAGAAATAGTGGGGTAAAATCACAGAAGAGCATTTAGCTTCAAGTGACTAAAAATGTCCTAATAATTAGAGCTGTTAGAGCAGAATAGGTTTGGGAGAATAGTGGATTTCCTCTCATTGGAGGTTTTTGACCAGAAATCAAATGGCCACATGTTGGAGCTGTTATAGAAGGCATTCCTATGTAAGCTGAGACCCTTTTTACAGCTGAAGTTTTGTGATTCTTTGAGATATTTGTCAGGAGATTTGGTATGTATTAGTAAGGAGATTTAGTCCATATTTTTACTACCTTTGATAATACTAAACTAAAGGACTTAGAACTAAAGTCCTAAGCATGGGCTTCTGGACTTCTTTATTTCTGTTGAGAGTACCACCATCCTTCAAAAGTCACTCAGATTAAGGGAGCAGCTAGGTGGTGCAGTGGATAGAGCACTGGCCCTGGATTCAGGAGGACCTGAGTTCAAATGTGGCTTCTGATACATAACACCTCACTAGCTGTGTGACCCTGGGCAAGTCACTTAACCCCATAGCCTAGCCAAAAAAAAAGAAGTTGCTCAGATTCACAACCTTGACATTGTCACAAGTCTTTACTCTCAGCAACACCGCATACCCAATCAACTGCAAAGTTTTGTTGATTCTATCTTCACAATATATCTTGCATCCACCCCTTCTCTCCTATTGCAGGTCAACCATTTTAATTTAAACTTCTTCACCTCTCACAAATTCCTCAGCTTGGCAGTTAAAGCCCTTTAGAGTCTGACTCCAATCTAAATTTCAAGGTTTATTTCCTATAACTCTCCTTCATGTCATCTGCTCTCTAGCCAAAGAGATGTAGTTGCTATTCCCCGAACTCAGTGCTCCGTCTCTCTTACTGTACCTTTAAATGGACTGCTCCCTGCCCCAGGCATGGAATTTGCTCCTCCAGGCATCTCTGTCCTCCTTCTAGAATCTCTATCTTCCTTCAAGGTATAGATCAGCCGTTCTTTGGCAACAGCGAAAGGTTTCTGAACAAAAATCAATTAAAAATCAAACACATAATGAATCCAAGGTGTTTCTGGCAGAATTTGCCCTTGTTGCATCCCAACTTCACTGCAGCCTTGGTTTTGAACACAAAGAATGGGGACTTTGCACTGTGCAAGCCCTCAAGCCACAAAACACCAACTGAACACTGCCAAAAGGTGAAAAAGGGGTCACAGGTAGAAAAACTGGAAGAGGCCCTGTAATAGCTTTGTGTCACTTCCTATGGGAAACTTTCCCTGACCTTCTTTCCCCTCATTTTTTATTGCTTTCTCCCTTCTCAGATTATAATGAACATACATAGTAGTTTACATTTGTAAGTTCCTTGCAGGGAGGGAGCTTTCTGTTTTGTTTTGGTTTTGGACCCCCCAGAATCTAGAATGGTGCCTTGCACCTAGTAGGTGTTGTTATTGAGCCACAAAAACTATCTTCCTATCTTCCTAATCTTCATCCCTCTAATTCCTCATGCCTCATTTTCTGAACAATTTAGTGTGATAAATCATCCAACACATGAAAAGTATATTGTGTTATATATGGTATGTTATATATATTATAAATATATACATAATATGTTAAATACTCTACACTTTCCTATCCCTTTGAGGGAAGTGTCAAAAGTCTTAACCTTAAGGTACTTTGTAAGTGTGAGTTATTCACTTATTTAATGATAATAATTGAAAATGAACTCATTTACTAATACTTTTTCCAATCATAAAAAGGAAATATTTTACCCACCTGTGTGATTGTCTGCAGAACATTAATTATAAAAGAATAATAGTGGAATAGTGACTTGTCCCAGGACCATTGAAATTAATGAGATAAAAAAGACATGTTCTCTCCCATTGTCCATGAGCTCCAATCTAGGTTGGGAATATAAAACTTAGATAAATGAAGCAATATGGATTTTTAAAGGATACAGACATACCTCAGAGATATTGTGGGTTTGGTTCCAGACCACTACAATCAAGTGAGTCCCATAATAAAGTGAATCATACAAATTTTTTGGTTTCCCAATGCATGTAAAAGTTATGCTTATACTTTTTGTAGTCTATTAAGTACATAATAGTATTATGTCTTTTAAAAGTACATACTTTAATTTAAAATTTTTTTATGGCTAAAAACTTCTAAACATCATCTGAGCCTTCAGCCTGTTGTAATCTTTTTGTTGGTGGAGGGTCTTGCCTCGATGTTGATGGCTACTGACTGATCAAGGTGGTAGTGACTGCTGAAGTTTGGGGAGACTGCGGCATTTTCTAAAAATAAGACAACAATGAAGTTTGCTGTATTGATTGATTCTTCCTTTCACTTGAACACATAGAGGACATTGTAGGGTTATTAACTGGCCTAATTTCAATATTGTTGTGTCTCAGAGAATAGGGAGACCTGAGGAGAGGGAGAGAGAGCAGTAAGAACACACACAACATTTATTGTTTAAGTTTGCTGTCTTATATGGAGCATGGTTCGTGGCATTCCAAAACTATTATGATAGTAATATCAAAGATCACTGATCACAAATTACCATAACAGATGTAATAATAATGAAAAAGTTTGAAATATCACAAGAATTACCAAAATGTGACACAGAGGCGTGATATGAGCACATGCTATTGGGAAAATGGCACCAATAGACTTGCCACAAACCTTCAGTTTGTTAAAAAAAAAAACAATATTTGGAAAATGCAGTAAAGCAAAGCTCAATAAAATGAGGTATGACTGTATGCAATCGAGTGAAATTGTGTATTAAATAAAGACCAGAAGTCAGAGGGGTAGGAGGAAAACCAGTAGAAGATTCATAAAAACCAAAGAATCCGTTTCAAAAAGAACCAGTGAACAAGGAGGTCAAGGAAGAGAAGAAAAGAGAAGGATTTAGTACTAAAGAGTTCATTGGTCAGTTTCAAAAACGAATAGTTGAAAGTCATAAGAGCATCTTCTGAGTGGGGGCAGAATGACCAGTTGTTAGGTATGTTATAGTAGAGATTTCTTCACATATCAGTTAGACTAGAAGATAAAAGAGGTTCATTCCCATTCTCAGATTCCATAATGCTCCCCCTCACACTCTTTATAATCTAATAAAGTCCTTTCCACATTCCTTTACACAAGCTGTGGAAGTGTTGCTCACACTCCATTTTGTTCACATGACATTTTATGAGGAAAAGAAGAGTTGTTGTTGTCCAATTAAAGAACCCTGACATAGGCACTCCCTCCTTTTCCTCTCCCTCTTCAAATCCCTGGTTTACTTCTGTGTGTGTGTGTGTGTGTGTGTGTGTGTGTGTTTGTGTGTGTGTGCCCCAATAGAATGCAAGTTTCCTTGAGAGAAGGGACTGTTTTGTCTTTTTCTCCCTAGTACCTATCATGGTGGTTGGCACATAGTAGGCACTTAATAAATGCTTGGTGAATGCATGCAAGCAAGCATGAATGAAGGAATGAAACAATATTTAAGAGCTAGAAGGAACATTAAAATTGTTTCATGTAACCCACTCATTTAGAAAATGAGGAATCCATATGTAGATTATACAGATGAGAAAATAGATATCTGGGCAGATATTTGTATTTGTCCAAGGTCACCCACAGTCAGGACCAGAACCCAGATATCCTGGCTCTATGCCTCATGGTTTTTCTACTGTATCATATGAAGAAGCAACTTAAAAGCCATAGGGCCACTCATTCAATCCATCTTAAGCCCATGATTCTATACATATTGCATATATTTGAATGCTGCTGGCTCATCTGTACTTATATCCTTTTAGTTTACAAGTTTTTAGGGGATGAAACCTATTTCATTGCCACTGGCTCATTATTTTACTATCTCTCATCCTGGGTTCTTTCATAGCTTCTAAAAAATTATTCACTTTCTAGTGATTCTTTCAAGGTTCCTACAATCTATTCAGGAAATAATAGGCATTCCTAAAATATCCTAAGGCTACAAACATGCATGAAACTTCAATGATTCTCCCTTTCTCTTCATTTTTTTTTATTTTAACTAAACATATATATAAACCATCAACATCACTATTTAATTTTAATTCATAATCTAAAATAAAAGCCTGCCCCAAACTCAGACCTCACTTTTGTTTGGTATAGTTGCCAATGCCAAGAACAGTGCCAGACATAAGGTGTGGTTAAAAACCAACTTTTCAGAAAGGAAACACCCTTTTCCTTCATCTGTATCCAATAGGAAATCAGTGAGGCATTTTGGCTAAGAATAAAATGAAGACTTGATTTCAAATGGGCCAAGTCTAAAAATTCTGCCTACACCTTTGTGTCAAACAGGAATCTACTTGTATCCTTAGCCCTTTCAAGTCAAAGGCCAGGCAGAATTTTCAAGTGCATGGTCGTTGGAGAGCAAAAGAAAGTCTTCACTATTTGAATCCAATACAATTCAATAAGCAATAAACATTTAATACATGCTGCTATGTGCAAGGCAAAATCAAGATGTGGACTAACAGCGTAGTTGTCTTCCAATAGAACCAAGGGCCTAATTTTTCAGCAGCAAGACAGGGCAGCTTTCTTTGTCTTCTACATATATGAATCTACTTTAAAGTTTCTTTTGGATATGAAATGTATATGAACTATTATTCACTAATCCACGTAACAACATTTATTAAGTCTCTGCTATGTACAGATCCTTAGAGGGTTACCTGGGGTCATTGAGAGGTTGAGTGACCCTCACACCCTCTGTGTGAGAGATATGACTTGAACCAAGGATTTTCTCTCCATCATAGCAGGCTGCCTCTTAAATTATTTTGTCTGTTACCTTAGCAACTTTCTAAGACTATAAACTGCAGAGCAGGCACAGACTGAATTAATAAGAGTTTTCTCATCAGGAGTTCCCTATACCAGTGAAATCATAGGTTAGGGCTAAAAAAAAAATGATGCTTTGGAATAGGACTTAATTTGTAGACTCTCCTCTGTTTTCATAGGTCTGAAGTTACTTGCCTGGCTTATTAGTTTCTTTATATGATGAGAACTTGGGCATTGAATATTTAATACAGTATAATTTCCCTGAGGTCAAAACTCTCTTATTTATTTTTGCAATATTTGCATTAGGATGGCATTGTTAATTTTTTTTAATTGTTTGAAAAATTGTGTGGCTAGACTAGAAAAGGTTACCACCAGGAAGAGAAAGCAGGATTGTCTTGGAACCGTTGCATGCTGGCTATCACTAATAACCAGCCTTTTTTTCTCCCTACCAGCCCTTTATCCAGAGTAGAATTTGGAGTTATGCAAATAACAGGTCTCTTAGGGACTCTGGTTTCATATTCCCAGAACCTCCTCAGGTGTTATATTTGACTTAGAGTCCAATTCTGTTTAAGGTCATAGAATCATCCCATATTCTTGGGTCCATTAAATTCTCAGGAACATCTTAGAACCCAAGTCTTCAAGAACCTCATGGCACCATATCTGTTTTCTCAGGGCTCTGGAGTTTGAGTCCATCCTCTAAAAGTTTCCCTGACAATCTAAGACCTCAGGAAGTTGTCCTCAGGAGCGCTAAGCCATTGCCTTCCACCTCCCTGGGGCTACCAGAGTCATTGCATGCCATATGGTGTCCATTACCTTTTGTCATGAAAACAAAGCTATCTGCCAAATCCCGGAAAACCTTGTTCTGGGCAAATCAGTTAAGTTTTAGACATTACAAAACTGTCCCCTTTCTGTAATTGAGCAGCAACAGCCATAATCAATTTTGAAGTTTAACTAGTCCAGGTGCTCCATTCTTCCCAGATCCACATTCTAGGGATGGAGAAGTCCAGCAAGTTCAATAGAGAACAGTTTGGAGGATCCCATGAAATAACTCCAGTGGTAAAGGCTATTGACTAAGTACATGAAACTCAAGAAACGGGGAAATATTTAAAGCTGACACTGCATCATATTCATCATCCAATACTTATTAAAATGTCTGCAGCAAAGTTTGATAAAAAAAAAAACTAGAAACAAGAACACAGTTCTAGTTCCCCATATACATCTCAAGAGAAAATGAAATATACGTCTCTTGAGAAGCTCTTGAAGTGACTGGTGCAATATTTAGAGATGGCTAAAGAAAACGGCACAGGAAAACCTGATCTGTTTTCAAATAGCCAAGGTAAATGAAGGTTAACCCTCCTTGTAATAGTCTTTAATGGCACTCATCTCTATCTTTCTTCCCTGACTCACATTCTCAATTCCAGAGTAGAGAACAAAGGAGTAGGGTTTGTTTTTACAAAGAAAGAGAAGTTGATGAAAACAGCCTTGACAGCTGCACTCTGTAGTTTGCTGAATTGGGAGCTTATACATCCCCCATTCAAGACTCTTGTTTTGTCTAGATCCCAGGATTTATAGATCATTTTTTGGCTCTGGCGTCATTTAGGTAATTATAATTTCCAATGATTTTGTTGTCATCTCTATTTGCCTTGATAGGAGGAACACTTAAGAGAGATCAGAAAGTAATTGAATTGTTGGAATCACTTGCCCTCCCCTCACTCTTGAATGACACAGCCAGCTTTTCCCAAAACAGAAACAACAGTCTTAATAAATAACATCTGGACTAAGTAAACAACTTTTACTTTTCCTGGTGCAGAAGTGGCAGTGCCTTGAGGACACGTCTGGCAAACTTCGAATTCACAAATGTAAAGGATCCAGCGACCTGCTCGCAATCCGGAAGAGAACTCGAAGTATCCACTCCCGGGGCTTCAGTAACAAAGACAAAGACTGTAATTGTGGGGAGACTGATTATCGGGCTAGCAGGAGCCAGAGGAAAAACCAGAGACAGTTCCTGAGAAACCATGGCACTCAAAGTAAGTGACTTCCTAATGACCACCCAGCAGCAGGTGGAAGTCTTTGGAAATGGGTAGGATGTAGTTAGCAGAACCTTGTGCATATGTGTGTGCACACACACGTATTTACATTTTTGTCTTTGGTGGATGGTTTATTTGTTCTATCACACAAATCTAAATGGCATGTTAGTGTTTAAAAGCAGAATTCTCATCAATTTTTTTCTTTGTAAATATTTTTCTATTTTCTAAAAAAAGATTTTTCTGCTAATAACAAATGAATTCATTCAGTTAGCAAAGGAAATGATTCTTGGAATCAGGCTTATAGCATACAGCAGATTCAAAGGAACTTCAATGTATGCATGCATACATACATACACACAAACACACACACACATACACACATATATATAGATAGACATATATATATATACATACATATGTATGTATACATATGCATATACATACATGCAATTATCCTTAGATCTAAAACCAGAAGGAAACTTAGAGGGCATCAACTCTAATATTCTCATTTTATAGTCAAAGAAACTTAGACCCAGAAAAGTTAAGTGATTTGCTCAAAATCACAGTAACATGGCAGAGGTGAGATTCAAACTCAGTACCTATGACTCTTAAGTTCAGAGAGCTTTCATTGCACCTTACTGCATTTTCTCCCCATCCTCCACTTAAGTGGCCATTGAAAGGGGGGAAGTAGTAACCACTCTGGCATAATAGAGAGAAATGTTCCTTCATGGAATGCCTGGGCCCCATCTGGACTATCTCTCTTTGCCTACTTGCTTGTGTTTTTATGTACCCCATTACTATTTCTGGAGCTTTGTTGTTATTGAATCATTTCAGTAGCATCTGATTCTTTGTGACCCCACATTGGTATTTTCTTGGCAAAAATACTGGAGTGGTTTGCCATTTTCTTCTCCAGTTCATTTTACAGATGTGGAACTGAAGCAAACAGGGTTACATAACTTGCCCAGGATCACACAGCTAATCTAGTAAGTGTCTGAAGCTGGATTAGAACTCATGAAGGTGAGTCTTCCTGATTCCAAGTCCAATGCTCTATCCACTGTGCCTCCTAGCTGACCTTTTCTATAGCTACAGGGAAATAAAATTCCCACACATTGACCTAAAAGCAATATTGCTAAGACTGCTTTGACTTAGCCATAGAACCAAAGCATTTGCTTTAGCCAGTTGTTGGACAGCAGGCTTTTGTCTCCAACAACAACAAATGTAGATGGTGCTATGGAATTGGGGAATGGACATAGATTTGAATGGTAACTCTGCTATGAACTACCTGTGTGACCTTTGGCATCTCACTTAACCACTTTAGGCCTCAGTTTCTGAGGATGTTGGACTAGATGACTTCTAAGGTGATCTAAATCTGTGACCCTATGATTCTCTGATAGAGGAAGTGTGAGGTTGTAGAAAGAACTGGAATTGAAATCTGCATGTTCTGAGTTTAAATTCACTTCAGACACTTATAAACCATGTGGCTTTAGGCAAGCCACTTTATCTGGAAATGCCTCAGGCAATTCCCTAGTAATTATGTACTCAGTCATAGACAGGTACCCTCAATAGACTGAAAAGATGGGCCCTGAAAATCCCAGATCCTTCATAATCACCTGTAGGGCACCTAAGTTGTAGGTATAGCAGGAAACAGTGTGTGAGAGGCTACATTCGTATGAGATACATTTACTTCAGAATATCTGATTGGGTCTATTTTCTCTGTTCTTTAGATAAGGACAAATTAGTGTTATTTAGGTTGGTGGATATGGTTCAAATTAGCACAATTCAAGAGGAACCCTGTTGAATACTTTGAGGATCACACTGTCCCTGGCCAGCATCCCTGTTAATTTTATTAATACATTGTCCTCTCAAGCAGACAGCAGAGCAACACCAGTGAGATCCTGAGTAAAGGCCAATCCAAGTGCAAAGCAGGAATGGCCTATAAATGAATGTCTACTGCCATCTTGTGGCTTACTTTGGGAAGTGCCTTATTTCTGTGATTATTTTCATTTCCAAGCTGGTTTGGAAATTGAACACTGTTATGTACAGCAGTAATTACTCCAGAGTCAGAGATTACGCAGATATCTGGGGCGATATCAATGTCTAGACATTTTCTCTATTAGTGGGTAAGTCAGGTTTAATATATCCCAAGAAGCAAAGCTCTACAGCTCCCTTGCCCTGGCTTAACTTCCTAGATCAGCTTACAGGCAGAGGTGCATTGTTAGAGTAATTTATAGTTTGTCATGGGGCAGCTAGATGGTGTAGTGGATAGATCACCGGCCCTGGATTCAGAAGGACCTGAGTTCAAATCCGGCCTCAGACACATAACATTTACTAGCTGTGTGATCCTGGGCAAGTCACTTAACCCCATTGTCTAGCCAAAAAAGAAAAAAAAGAATTTATAGTTTATCATCCTGGGCCTTAACTATAAATAATGCTGCATTGAATTTCAGGTCACATTTATTTTAAGGACTGAATCACATGTTAGCAAAATTTAGACTAGTTTATTTTGAATGAGGCCAGATTTTTCAACATGTGCCTAAAATTAAAATTTGCTTAAAATGTCCAAATTCCATGGAATAGAATGGTATAAATGTCCCATTTTCCCATTGATTAAATTCTCCAGTGACCTTGTTTGTTCACATTTAGGGTTTGATGAGCTTCCCCTCAAAGGGACATAGACAGTTGTACATTTTGATTCAGTGACTATTATGTATCCCTTATTTCTATGCCAGGGGGTCTATAGAGGTTTAGGAAAATAATGCCATCTTAGTGTGCTTCACAGGATCTACATGCTTTTCAGGCAGTTAATAAGCATTTTTTCTTTAGCAATATTTTATTTTTTCCCAATTACACATAAAAACAATTTTTAACATTCTTTTTTTTAATGTTTTGACTTCCAAATTCTATCCCTCCTTCCTTCTCCTCCTCTTCTCTGAGAGAGTAAGCAATCTGAAATAGGTTATACATATGCAGTTATGTAAAATATTTCCATATTAGTCATTTTGTGCAAGAAGATGAAGGAAGGAAGGAAGGAAGGAAGGAAGGAAGGAAGGAAGGAAGGAAGGAAGGAAGGAAGGAAGGAAGGAAGGAAGGAAGGAAGGAAGGAAGGAAGGAAGGAAGGAAGGAAGGAAGGGGAACAGAGAGAGAGAGAGAGAAATAGCATATTTCATTCTGTATTCACACAATATTGGTTCTTTCTCTGGAAGGGGAATAGCATTTTTCATCACAAGTCCTTTGAGATTGTCTTGGATTGTTGTATTACTGAGGATAGTTGTCATTCACAGTTCTTCATCATACAATATTGCTATTACTGTGTACAATGTTCTTCTGGTTCTGCTCACTTAACTTTGTATCAGTTTGTTTAAGTCTTTCCAGGTTTTTCTGAAATCTGCCTGCTCATCCCTTCTTATAGCACAATATTATTCCATTGCAATCATATACCCCAACTTGTTCAGCCATTCCCCAATTACTGGGCATCCCCTCAATTTCCAATTCCTTGCCACCACAAAAAAAAAAAGCTGCTATAAATATTTTTGTTTCAAATAGATTCTTTTCCTTTTTTGTCTCTTTGGAATACAGACCTAGCAGTGGTATTGCTGGATCAAAGGGTTTGCACAGTTTTATAGCCCTTTGGATATAATTTCAAATTGCTTTCCAGAATTGTTGGATCAGTTCATAGCTCCACCAACAGTGCATTAATGTCTCATTTTTCTCACATCTCCTCCAACATTTATCATTTTCCTTTTTTGTGATATTAACCGATATGATAGGTGTGAGGTGGTACCCCAGATTTAGTTAACAAGCAATATTTAACATTTACTATGTGCCAAGCACTGTCTTAAACACTGTGGATACAAAGAAAGACAAAAACATTATTCTTACCATCAAGGAGCTCATATTCTAATAAAGGAAAGAACACACAAACAACTATGTGCAAACAAGACAATATGCAGTACAAAATGGAAGATAATCCCAGAGGGGAGGTACTAGCAGTGAGGAAAATAGAAGTAAGGAGAGCTCAAAGCTGAGTCTTGAAGCAAGCTAGAAAGTGAGGAGGGAGAGCATTCCAGGTGGGGGGGACAGCCAGTGCAAAAGGCTTGGAGTTGGGAGATGTGATGTGGTATATGAAGAACAGAAAGAAGGCAAGTAGGTCAATGTTTCTGGATCATAGATTACATTGAGCAGAGTAATGAATAAGACTGGAAAGGTAAAAAAGGGTTACATTGTGAAGGTTTTTTAAAGACAGAGGATTTTTACATTTGATCCTGAAATAATAGGGAGTCATTAGAATTTATTGAGTAGCAGGATGACATGGTCAGACCTATGCTTTAAGAAAATTACTTTGGCAACTGAATTAAAGCTAAATTAGACTAGAGGAAAAAACTCTAGGCAGGGAGACCAACCACAAGTCTCTTGAAACAGTCCAGGCATGAGACAGTGATGGCTTTCACCAAGATGATAGCTAGGTCTCACATGGCAAATCTCATGTACTATAGCAAAATAACAACAACAGTAAATAATATTCAGGGTAGAAGGGCTGTGATTTGGTCCAAGCCCATGACTCCATTGATGTAGGAAATTCCCTTCACTGATGCAAATCAGTAACTTCTCTAGAACTTAAAATCTTTTAGAATTACCTAAGAGATTAAGTGACTTGTCTCTGCTCATTGAGCTAGATTATGTCAGGGATAGGACTTTAACCTGTCTCTTCATGATTTCAAGGAAAGTTCTCTTTTCAGTATAATATATTGTCTCTTAAAAACTAGCAAATGATAGTTATCAAAGAAATATATTGAGTTCTCACAATTTTCCCCAATATTGGCATCATTATCCTTTAGCTAACTGCAAGATAATAATAATAGGTTGGTTGGTAGATATCTTAAAAAATTAACATTTTCTTCACTGAGTCATTCACTATCATTTATGCAAAGAGGTAGTTTCTGGAACATTGAATTTTCCCATGTATACACACACACACACACACACACACACACACACACACACACATGTGTGTAAGTATATATATATAGTTCTATCAACTGGACTAATAGTATACTAATAGTATAGTTGTACCCTGTTGGACTGATTTAATTAACTGTGGAAACTAATTTCAATCAGCTCAAACATATAAATTTGTTGGGGAATCTATACAGAGTATGAGTATTCTCCACATTCAAAGGGGCCTGCCATACCAAATTACCATTTCAATCCTTCCATTTTCTTTAGCTATACAATTTTATCTTGGTGTCAGTGTTAACTTGCCTTCCCTTCCTTGCAGAATACAAGCCAAGGTTTGTTCATACTCGCCAAACCCGCTCCCTATCTGTGGAATTTGAAGGAGAAATATATGATATCAACTTAGAAGAAGAAGAACTGCAACTGTTGCGCCCAAGAAGTATTTCAAAGCGCCATGACGAAGGCCTTAAGTCTCCAGGAGTCCACAATGCTGCTGCTGTTGGTGGTGACGGTGAATTAATGCTGGCTGACGGCCCCAATGCAGTGGGACAGTCAGATACTGTCCGAGTGACACATAAGTATGAACGCTTAGATATTCAGAGGAATTATTTTCAAGTTAACCTGCTACATATCATCATCATCATCATCATTATTACCTTCTTCATACCACTACAAGAAAAAAATGCAGCTCAGTGTTAGTGAGAGAATAATTGGCGGTGGTTAGCAGCTAGTGGCTAAAAAAGCAGTGGGGGATACAGGGAACAGAAGTTTTAGAGGTCTGATTTTGATTCAGTTTCATATTCAGGCTTATTCTACTGGGAATCCAAGAAGCCGCAATAATATTGCTATATCTTAACATAGCAGGCAGAGCATATGCCCTTGAGCTGCTATCACCATGGGGAGTGCTGAAAGGAGAGAAAACAGATGGGGCTAATTATTTGCACTACTAAGCCAACACTTTTTTCCTGGATACATGGCTACTATTATTCAGTCTGTTGTATTACTCTTGTGGCAGTGGTAGCTGGGGCATAATCAAAAAGTGGGGTCTCCTGGATAGGTTTCCAGGGAAATAGAGTGGATGGGGGAATGGAATTAGGGAGGAGAAATACTTGAGTTAATTAGATCGGCACCCAGCTAGTCTAGCATGTCTTGCTTTTTGGAGGTTAAGCCCATGGGAAAGAACTGGGGAATGAACGGCTTCAGCAAAGTGCTAATACTCTCAGTTTGTTCTTCCGATCTGTTTCTCATACCCATATACCCTCCACACCTAAATATAACCATCTTTGACTATATCTAGCCATCTTTGCTTTTTTAAGAAGGACCTCTGTAGGAATGTCATATAATTTCTTTATCATTCCTTATTCCTTTGTGTTATAAAAACACTGCTTAGCTATGAAATTTTAATTATTGCATCCTGTCATCTTTATAGTACCAAAAAGCAGCCATGCTCTTTAATCATGTTGTTCTTCCCTCATTCCTTATTTATTGATCAGCCCACCTTCCTTGTCTCCCTGGGTCTCTTTCTTTGTGGCATTCAAATGGGCAAAAATGAAAGAATTGGTTAAAAATGATCTCGGTAGAAAAGGATTACAGATAGTTATGGTCCTTTTAATTAAATGATTCTTTACACCAAGTCTTTTGCAGCATTTTGAACCCCAGCCCAGTCACTTCTTCAGGTGTATTAGCTGGTGTTTTCTAAAAGCTAAAATTTCTTTTTGTTGATTTGTATATTTTGGGAATAATATTAAGTCTGTCCAGTGTCTAGCATGTCCTTGGCAGTGATTCCAACTGACCCGGTTCTGGACACCCACATTTATAGCCAAGAGGCATTACATTCATAATTCTCTATTGATTAGCTTGTATTCATTGATTTGTTGCTTGTATCTAGATTAACTGGTTCAGGAGAAAAATAAAGTTCTCTTCTTTGGTCTTTCCTATAGGTGCTTTATTCTTCCAAATGACACAATCCATTGTGAGAGAGAACTATATCAATCAGCCAGAGCCTGGAAAGACCACAAGGCATACATCGATAAGGAGGTTAGCTGGGATTTAAATGTCTATTCCAAATTCAACTGGATGGCTGGGAAGCTATTTTTTATTGATCATTTGATGGGTTTAATACCTAGTATGTATTATAATTGCATGTAAAATACTAAACATAATAATAACTCCTCTCTCCTAACTCTGTGAGCTAGGGATTGCAAATATTAGTATCAGCATCTAACACAGGACCTTGCCTATAGTAACCACTTAATAATAAATAGTATTTAAATGGGATATTAAGGTTTGGAAAGCACTTTAAACATTATTTCATTTGATCTTCCCATCAAACCTGGAGATAGACATTATTATTATTATTATTATTATTCACTTTTACAAATAAAGAAACAGAGGTCCCAAGAGATTAAGTGACTGGCTCAAGGTCACACAACAAGCAAGATTCAGAAAAGATAAAGTAATTTGATCAAGGTTAAATCACAAGGAAGTGTGAGCAGAGCCAAGATCTAAAGTCAGGTCCTCCTGCTCTTTCTACCATTCCATGAGCACTTTGAGGAAACAAGCAAAGGATGATTTGATGACTCTTTTTTATGCCTTCCAGGCCAATGATACCATGTATCTGTTAGGAAACAAACTTGCATCAAGTGTGAAAAGTGTTCTACCTTTGGTAGAATGTGAAGAGTACTGTGACCTTTTCCCAGAATAGGCCCAAATTTATTAAGTGGTTTAATGTATGCTTATGGCAAAAGAAAAAAAAACTGAAGTGAGAAAGCATTTTGCTCAAAGGAAAATTCTAAAGGGCTATTGGCCTTAAAATACAATTAATCCCCAATGTATTCCCCAGATTGAAGCTCTCCAAGATAAAATTAAGAATTTAAGAGAAGTGAGAGGACACCTGAAGAGAAGAAAGCCTGATGAATGTGATTGTAACAAGCAGAGGTAATGGCTTCTTTGCTGCAGCCTGCTGGTAACGTCTGCTCTGGAAACTCATTAGCTATTGGTACTGGCTCAGGTCATTATAGTGGGGGTTATGTCTCTCTATTACTAAGCTTATTATGTTTAATGTACTATTGCACATAATAATGACTGAGGCTATTTAAATAAAATTAAGTACACTATAAATCTAAGCAGTAGGTGTGAGGCACAGTCCCTTTAAACAGAAGCTTTTGCCAGTCCTAGCCATGTTACCTTTCTATTTTTTGCTTTGTTTACAGAAAATGAATTAAATGTAATCAAATGGAAATGTATGAAAACTCACTTTTTAATCCTGTTGCCTGTAGCTATTATAATAAAGAAAAAGGTGTGAAAGCCCAAGAGAAATTGAAGAGCCACCTTCACCCGTTCAAGTAAGTGGTCCCCTTTGGGAATAGTTGGGGGGGGTAGCAATAAAATAGTGTGTCAAGTGGCAACTTTCCAGTTGTTAGTGGTGCCATCAGCAAAAACAGTCAATGTTTACTATATGCCCAGGACAGTGAAAATCAATCAGTCAAGACATCACCTCAAAGTATCGTGAGAATCCATTCGAGGTCACTCATCTGAAGCTCATTATCAGAGTCTAATTCAATTCTCTCCACCCTGGAGCACCCAGCTAATATATGTGATGTGCATAGCCTGCTGTCCTCATTATGTTGCCATGTGAGAAAAAAGACAAAGAGGGGTGGTGTAGGCCTCCTCAGCTAATTCTAAGGTTTTCTGCTACAGTAACAACAGTATTGAATGTAGAAATGTAGAATGTGGAAAAATGAAAAAAATGTAGAATGTAGAAAAATGAAAAAAAGATGGAAGGGGGAAATGGGATTGTAAGCTACGTGAGAGAAAGAAGAGAGAAACAGAGAGAAGGAAGAGGAAAGGAGGACAGAGAAGGGATATTTGAAACTTTCTGAAAAGAAGATTGAGACTGAATGAGGAAATGTCCAGTTCAAGGGAATTAAAGAACAAAAAGGACTTCCACATTTACTCTACTTAATTAAATTAACAAAAATATGGAGAGAGTATGACATAGTGAATAAAGCGTCAGCTTTGAAGTCAGGAAGACCTGCCTCAGTCAGATACAAGCTATTTGACTATATCACAAAGGTGTGAGCAGACCATTCTTAGTGCCTCTAAAATACAGATAAGTTATCAATCTGCATCAGTGGACAGAGTTTTCAGACCAGGAGATCTCTATATTAATGAAATCAAAGATCCAAGTCATTATAAAATAAAATCTATAGAAAAATAACATTTCACAAATATGTTACACAACCCATAAAACTCTAAAAAGATTGCTATTTAACAAAGTTTACTTTTACTTTTATTGAAACTCGCATTTTCTTGAGAAAGAATAATCTAACTAGATGTCTCTAAACAGTAGGAATTATAATGAGGATCTTTTTAATTTTTTTTAGAGAAAGTACTTTTAAATAATTCAAAAATCCCTTCTCTTTGAATAGAGAGGCTGCTCAAGAAGTGGATAGCAAACTACAGCTTTTCAAAGAGAATCGGAGAAGGAAGAAGGAGAGGAAAGAGAAGAAGAGGCAAAAGAAGGGGGATGAGTGCAGCCTGCCTGGACTTACTTGTTTCACACATGACAACAACCACTGGCAAACAGCACCATTTTGGAACTGTAAGAATCTCTTCTTCGTGTACTTTGTGTACTTCACTTGACACAGGAATCTGTGCCGATTCAAAAGGGACACATTTTATTATTTTTTTACAAAGACAGCTTAGATGGTTTTATTTTGTTTTCCTTAAGTAGTCCATATTTTATGTGGCAAGGCTAATTTTCTCCCAGATTCCCATCTTAGAATAGTATATATTCTTTCCCCACAAATGTTCCCATTTAGTTTAAATTGCATACCCAAAATAAAATAGAAAACATTTCATGCAGATGAGGTATAATGCCAAATGTGCACTTTTTAAATGAATGCTTATATTTTGCATTGGCTTGCATGCAAACTATATTTTCCACGCAAGGAAAAATTTCCTAACACTTAGAATTACAACTAAAGGGCAATTGGGCTGACCTCACAAATAGTACAGTCCTCATTACTAGGGGTCTTCAAGCAAAAATTGGCGTGTCTACTTATCAGGGATGTTGTAGAGGGGATTTCTATTGTGGTGCCAGTTGGATACCTGTGAGGTACCTTCTAACTCTGAGTCTGATGGCCCTACAATTCTATAAAGACATGTATTGTCTATATTGATTTTATAGACACGAAGGAATGAGAAGCAAACTGATGAACAGAGAATACAACAAATAGAGATTTTAATCATTTGAAAGGATTTAACTTGTTGAGAGCAAATTTCTCAACACTAACTCTGGATTTTAGCTAATTTATCCTCCTTTCCCTTATGTACTTACATAGCTGGCACATCAGAGGAGAAGGAGAGAATGTTATATCCCTCCTTAGGCTTGTTACTCGTGCTATCCCCATATTGCCTGGTAGTGTGTCCCGCAAAGACCCGCTGCCTAGGGCAGGCAGCAGATATGACTAAGAGAGGGGGCTTTCCTGGTACTTCTCCATGATATGTTCACTAGGTCTGTAATGGCAGAGTTTCATAACTGGTTCCTCTAATGGAGGATTTCATAACTGGAGATCTTGAATTTGTTTTGTTGTTGTTTTAAATATTTTGATAACTGTATTTCAAAATAATTCATTTCCTTTGTAATCCTATGTATTTCATTTCATGCATTTAAAACAAATGGCCATGGGCTTTAACCAGATTAACAAAGTAGATCGTGACACACAGAAAAAGGTTAAGAACTCTTGGGGCAGCTAGGTGGCACAGTGGATAGCACACTGGCCCTGAAGTCAAGAGGACCTGAGTTCAAATCTGACTTCAGACCAAACACTAGCTGTGTGACCCTGGGCAAGTCATTTAACCCCAATTGCCAAAAAAAAAAAACCTCTTGCTATAAGGAATTTTCAGTTTGTATACCATAAACGTGTATAGCCAATGACCACTCTAATACAACATATAACACACTTTCATGTAGCAGCCAACTCTTTTCCAGGTGGCACTAGATGCACGTTCATTGGCACCAGAAAATAACAAATGACTAAGAGAGCTCATGGTCCAACCCAGAAAGACCAGCTGTTGTTCTTTGCATATAAATAAATCAATGATAAATTGTTTGTCAAGCATTTACCGTACACCAAGCACTATGACACATGCTATAGATACAGATACAAAATACAGTCCCTGCCCTCGGGAAAGAACAACACATAAAGAGATTACACACGTAGAGGACCAGGTGTCTAGGGAAGGGTGTTTTGATCTTAGAAATCACGGGAATGGTAAGAAGAATCATGAAGATTCTTTTTTTAAATAGCATTGTGTTTTTTTCCAATTACATGTAAAGACAATTTTTAACATCCATTTTTTTTAAATTTTGAGTTCCAAATTTTCTTCTTTTTCCCTCCCTTCCCCCTCCCTAAAAAGGTAAGAATTTTAAATAGGTTATATATCTGCAATCGCATCCTAAGGGTTCTTGAGCCATCTCTTTAGACGTTTCCCTCACTCCCCGATGCCAAACCCTGGCGGTAAGGTCCCAAGCTGAGTGGCAGCAGCCCGAGGAGCAGGGAAAGAGGCCAAGTGGGGAAGATAACTGGGTGATCTCCTTAGGGGTGGGATCCCATGTCTTGTTCTTATTTGTATCCCTAGCAGAGGAGCTTGTATGGAGTAGGTATTTGATTCCTGCTTGTGAACAGTAAGAACCAGAGAATCTTGAGGGTCTGTTTCAGCTCTGTCTCTACTGCTCCAAGAGAATCAAACCCAACCTTCTCTCTTCCCTACAGGCCCTCTACTGAAAAGACTTTTAGGTTGAGAACTTTGTGTTATGGGTGACCCGTCACCTTAGATTGGTGCATAAGTGACGTTTTAGTTCACCATTTTTATTTAATCTTTCACTAGTCTTAGGGCTATTTTTTTCCCGTTCTTTTTACTCCAGATACTTTTCCTTTGACACTCTGGTACACAAGAAAAAACTATTTCTAAAAACTGTCAAAATAGTCCATGAACATGGAAGGGGAAGGGTGATAGCATTTATTTAGCTCCTACTATGTGCTGTGTTTTTTACGAATATTATATCTTCTGATCATAATTACAAGGTAGATGTTATTATTATCCCCATTTTGCAGTTGAGGAAACTGAGGCAAACAATGGCTAAGTGACTTGCCCAGGGTCACCTAGCAAAATGCCTGTATCCTGCGGGAAGAATGTCAGCTCCTTGAGGGCAGGTTCTATTTGTATCTTTAGCACATATATGCCTGGCACATATCAGATACTTCTTAAATTTTTGTTACTTGAGTAAGTAATTAGCATGCCTTTAATCTCCAAGTTTGACTACCAAGAGGGAAAAACCTATACCACCAGTCCTATAAGAAAGAAAATAAGCAACGTGGGTTTAAATCTGATAAAACACCATCGGCTTAAAATTCTGCGACAATGTTACACCCTAGCTCATTCACCATTTTTTCCCTGCCCAACAGTGGGATCTTTCTGTGCCTGCACAAGCTCTAACAACAATACCTACTGGTGTCTGCGAACAGTCAATGAGACGCACAACTTCCTTTTCTGTGAGTTTGCTACTGGCTTCTTGGAATATTTTGATATGAATACAGATCCCTACCAGGTAAACAAAGCCCTTTCCTTTTTCTGAAGTTCATACGAAATCCAATATTAAAGAGAGAATTTGAGTCAATTTTCTCTGCCTGACCCTTCCTCTTCTTTACCTCCAGCTCACAAATACAGTCCACACAGTAGAAAGAGGCATCTTGAACCAGTTGCACATCCAGCTGATGGAGCTGAGAAGCTGTCAGGGTTATAAACAGTGCAATCCAAGGCCTAAGGGACTTGAAGCAGGTAAGGGAGAAGATGTATATGTGTATGGATGGGAAAGGGACAAGGCCTGTGGGATTTTATTGGCGCAAGGAATTCCTAGCTTCCTGAGTAGGGAAGTTCCCTCTACCAAGGCTGGAGACTACAGGCTTGACCACTTAGTCTTGGAGAATAGCCTAGAGCAGAGATGGGGCTTGGGCCCTGTTCTCCCCAGTGCTTCCCGAAGCAAATTAAAATGTGATTGGGAAATATTGAACAAAATAGACAAAAATACAATAAAACAAAGATAATATTACCTTTTAAAATGAATCAGTATGTGGCCTGCAGGGACTCTTCTGTATACAGAAAATTAGAGGCCCTGGTTTCAATTTAAGTTTGATACCATAGGCCTTGAACTCAGAGAATGCTTAAGTGACTTGCCCAGGGACATACTTGCCCTAGGATTAGCTATTAGTATTTTGACAGTATGTGTAAGAAGCAGGACCTGAACTCAGGTCTTCTTGGCTTTGAGGCCAAGTCTTTATCTAGTTACTAGATTCTAGTATCTGATACTGACTTTCATACATATCTATCAGAGAGCCAGACAGACAGACAGATAGATAGATAGATAGATAGATAGATAGATAGATAGATAGATAGATAGATAGATAGATTTAGGTCTATAGAAATCATATAAGAAGAAATAATTTGTTAAGTGCTTACTATGGGAAATATCTAGATATCTAGATATATATATCTAGATATATATATATCTATATATATATATATCTCATAGATATTATATACACATCTACATACCATATATACATATACAGACTTATATGTATTTATATATATATATACACATATATGTATAGTTATAGTTAATTAGATATCTATTTATATGTATAATATTTCCATATTTCAAAGATATTATTTTAGTTCCTTTATTACCAAAATTTCTTCATCTGAAACTTTTATGTATATGGAAAAATATTTTGGAAAACTCTCAAGGGAGTTCATAGTCAGATTTAATATCCCAGTTTGGAGGAAGCCATTAATGAAATGTAATGCAATCGACCTTTCAGAGTTGGTAAGAGTTTCACTCCACCCTCTCCAACAGGTCCAATTTTGTTAACAAGCTTTGATTCCCAACAGAGGCATCTACAGGAGGATGGGATAACGGTTATGAAAGCTTTGGGGGTTTGTTTGTTATTCTTGTCAATAGGCATGAGCTGTACTTTAAGTAAATGAGGGTATCCTCTTTCCTGAAGGACACTGGGCTGGCTCAGACAATAGCCAGTGTCTGCCTATTTGCAGTTGGAATTGCCCCAGCTGGGTTCCAGTTCATCTGACAAAGTGAATTAGACTCATTTGCAAGTGTCTCCCATGCCCCTTAATGAAAATTTCAAACAATCAGTTGGAATAGTATCTGAAATTAGAGCTTCTTGAGCAGCTCATTAACTTGGGATCTAGACACGGTAAATGGGTCTGTGTGGAATCAGTCAGATTATTTCCTCCCTGGGGTGTAGCACTGTACTATCAACTCATTTTCTCCCAGGGTACAACTAACAAGTTGGCCCCTTCTCTCCCTGCCCCCATCTTTCATGGTTAATGAGCATGCCTAGTTTCTCTTCTTCTATCACCCAGAAATGTTAACTTGGAGATTCCACTTCCCAGTATTTTAATAGCTGTAAAGGAAAACGGGAAGAGTAGAAAGGTAAGGAAAGCAATCAGTCTTACTGTATAGGAAAAGGCCAAAACAAGCCAGTAGTGAGAAGCACTACAAAGGATACCAGGGGTACAGAAAGAACCATTAGGGCAAGTAGCTGAGCCATTTGGGGATAACCTATTTTCAGAGTGATTATTTGTGCTTCTGAGTTGTCAGCTGGTCACCTTCCATGTGGGTCGAGAAGGTATACTAAGTGGTTGGTCACCTGCCCCTAAATAGCAACCCCTCTGTAGATCATTTCACCATTATAACTTTATTCAGGTCCCAAAGTCTCATCAGGAGCCCCCAGGGAAATTCAAGACCCTCAAAGGAAGAGTTATACTTTAGTTAGCAGCTGATATTTGAATGAGATTAATTGACAGCCAGCTGCAAGGAAATTGGGATGGACCTTTTGGTTTTCTTTATTCTTTTTAAGGGTATGGTGACCTTGAAAAATTTTGTCTAGGGTTACCCTACTTTCTTCAGCCTTCATAAAAAAGGGATATATTCAAGCTAACATCCTGCCTTCCTACCTGATTAAGGCTTCCATTAGAGAGATACTGCCACTCCTGCTGAGCTCTGAATACAGATAATAATAATAATAGCTGACATTGGTAGAGGACATTAAGGTTTACAAAGTATTTCAGTTCATGTTATTTCATTTGGTCCTCATCATTGCGGGAGGTAAGTACTGTGGGTCTTATTCTCCCCATTTTACAGATAAGAAACAAGGGGCTTGGAGAGGCAAATGACTTGCCCAAGGTAACTTAGTGAGGAAATGGACTTAACTTCAGGTCCTTTGACTTCAAATCCTGTCCTCTCTCCATGATCCAATGCTTGAAAATTTCATAACCATTATGCCCAAAGGTATTTCCTTGCAAGAACATGAGAGTGTCCTCTGTGAGAGATAGAATGAGCACACAGTTTGGTGACATTTATAGTTTTCTCAGTGATGAGATAGGATGGAGAGGATTCCAAACGTTTATTACCAGGTAGCTCTAAATGGTCCCATCTGCCACTAAACCAGTACTGAGGGAAATCATAATTGCCAAGTCTTTTTTCAATGTGTTGGCTGCTAAACATCAAGGTCTGATTTTGGTCATCAGTAATATGGACTTCTGAAGGAAATCTCTCCTTGTGTTTAAATGTAGTTTCCTTACTTTTTCTCTTTTTGCTTTTGTGGAAATTCTGTTTTGTGTTTTCCAACTTGAAACTTTTTTTAAGTATCATTTGTAGTCTCTGGTTTGAACCTAGTTTGTCAAAAACCTCTCTGGGACCTCAGGCCTGTCTGTACTTAACACAGTATATTTCTTTCTAGGAGTTAGATGATATGCATGGAAAACTACATTGTGAATGGTTTTTACAGATTCTAAACACTAACAAAAGTTACTCTTGTATTTTCCTATATCAGGAAATAAAGATGGAGGAAGCTATGACCCACACAGGTATTCAGACTTTTTTATTCTCCCCAGCAGCTGCTTTCCCAATAATTGCATGATCCAGTCCATTTCAACTAATGTCTATTCCTTGCCATGTTTTACAGAGAAGCGCTAGCTTGTGATGCATGCAAGTTCTAACAGCATCCTACACATGCATTTTGTCATTGGTTTCAGATAAATCATTATGCATTTAACTCCCCTCACTCACAATAAAACATCAACCAGCACACAATTTATTCCATGCTGATTTTTGAGAACTTTTAAATATATATATACATACATATATGTGTGTGTGTGTGTGTGTGTGTGTGTGTATTGAACTACATGAAAAATGCATTCATTATTGTGGAGAACAATACTCTTAGAGGGAACCAAAAAATGAGTCTCTTTGGGGGGCTTCTCTAATTACTTGGGAGTTTCATAGCAGCTAGTTATCTGGAAAGATTTCATTAAATATAAGTTAAAAGATATCTCTAGGCATAGGGAGTAGTTAAAATTTTAAGAGACTTTTAAAGAGAAGGCTGGGAAATACAACAAAGAAGATCCTAGTTGTTACCACTTAGTAGTAAATCCTAGAAAGCAAAGCATTCAAAAGGGTATTGATGAGAAATATTGATGCCCAGTTCTAAGGTGGCACAGCAGGTAGAGTCCTGGGTATGGAATCAGAAGGACCTCAATTCAAATTTGGCCTCAGACACTTACTAGCAATGTGACCCTGGGCAAATCACTTAACTATGTTTGCCTGTTTCCTCTTCTGTAAAATGAGCTGGAGAAAGAAATGGAAAAACACTCCAGTATCTTTGCCAAGAAAACCCCAAATAGGGCCATGAGGAATTGGGAACGACTGAAAAATGGCTGAACAACAACAAAAAGGACAAAGATGGCAAAAGAAAGAGAAGGAAAGCAAGAGTGAGCATACCCAGAGAAAGTTTATTTACATAGGCTGATAGCATTTGGAGATGGAAGGGTCCTTTAAAGATCATCTATCTATTCAAACCTCCTCATTTTGACAAATGAGGAAACTGAGAACCAGCAAGGTTAAACGACTCGTCCAAAGTCACCTTACTTTTAAGTAGCAGAGCTGGAATTCACATTCAAGTCTGATGATTCCTATTTCCACTATATGTCCCCCCAGAAACATATACCCCACAGGACGGATGACTCCTTTTTCCTCTATACTATACTATTTTCACATTGTACCTGTAGAGAACAACCAGAAAATATTGATTCTGTCACATTCCACCTCAGGAAATTGGTCTTTCCTAATTTTCCCTTCTAGAGCCTCAGTTCACCACAGACCTGTCACCCCTGTGCACCCTTTGACTATTGACTACTGTACTGTACTCCGATAGGGCAGGGTCACCCTAGAACCAATTGTAGTGCATTGACATACAGTCAAAGACTTAATAAGTATCCTTCATGGTTACTCCTTTAAGGAAAAATAAGAAATATCTTCTAGGTCTGTTCTTCCTTTTTCTCCATTGACTTGCCATATTTCTTTCAGCTTTGTTTTTCCATTCTTTTATTACTATTTTGGCCTCTTGAGAACCAGCTCCTCCACTAGAATCAAAGTCCACTGAATCATTTTGTCATAGCAGTGACTTGACTATATCTTCAGATGACATGCTCTAGTGAGCCTAGTCCTACTAAAACTGAAGGGCTTCAAATACAGGCCTGGTGACAAACTTTGTGAGTTCACAGACTCTCAACTCCATAAGGCTGGCCAGTAGGAAATGATCTTCCTTTTTCTTTTGGCCACAGCATATCATGAAGACTGTCGATTAGGACAAGGAGAGGTTGTAATCTGTGTTGTTATAGGACTCACACTCATAAAAATCAGCCATCTTTTATGATACTGAATCCAGACAACCAATGCAGCCATGGCTCCAACTAGAAAAAACTAAATGGCAACTGGAAGAACTGAAAAGAAAGAAAGAAAACAAAGAGGAAGCAGTTTCTCAGTATACTTTTGGAATAGATAGATATTTATCAGCTATAAATATAGATAAATATATATCTGAAATAGAAAGATAGGTGGTAGAGATAGAAATAGAGATAAAATAGATGATAGGTAATAGATATAGAGATGGAGATGATCAGAGATAGAGATGGTAGATCTAGATGTAGGGAGATAATAGCTAGATAGAGAAAGAAATAGATGATAGGTAATAAATACAGAAATAGATAGGGACTAATGATAGATAAAGATAGATAAATAAATAATAGGTAATATAGAAATAGATAAATAGATGATTGATTGAGATAGAAATACAGATACAAATGGAATATATATAGATAACAGGTGAGAGATGTAGAGACAGATAGGTAGGTAGATGGATAGACAGACAGACAGATAGATAGATAACAAGTGATAAATAGATATAGAAATAAAAAAGCTAGAAAGATGAGAAAAATAGAGTAATAGATAAATAGAGGTAGAAATAGACAGATAGATAGATAGATAGATAGATAGATAGATAGATAGATAGATAGATAGATAACAAGTGACAAATAGATATAGAAATAAAAACCATTTAGTCCATTCTCTTATTTTAAAGATGAGGAAAGTGAGACCTAGGCATGTTGTGGCTTTTCCATGATCTTGCAGTTAGAAAATGTCAGAGATGAGATTTGGACCCAGGTTTCCCTGACTCCAAGTCTAGTTTTCTATCCACTATGCTGCACTGTTATTTTCTGACAGGTTTTATTTGGTAGTTCAAGAATTTTTATTCTACATTCTTGTACATTTCTCATGATATTCCTGTGGTAGAAGGAATGAGAAATAGTTATTTGACAATTAGCAGACTCAAAGTTGTAGTTTGTTCAAATGCAAAGCTTTAAATTAGCTCATACATCTCTAACGCCTAACTACTTTTTTTTTTTTACTGACTTGATCAAATTAATCATTTTTATGGCGTTGTACTTAGACATTGTCTTTCAGTGATGATGTGCTAAATGAAATGATCTCATGTGGTGTGGTCACTTCAACAATCTCATTATAGTGTTAGAGCATGAAATCATGCTCCCTATTGAGTTTTCAACATACTTGCCAATACAGGAACCCAAAAAGGAAGTAAATATGTTGGAACTCCAAAGTAATTATGTGTTTATACACTCCATACATCCATGAACTTTGAATAAAGTCTTCATTCACTGATATGTGGTGATAGCATTCAGGGATGGCATGTGGTAAAGCATATGCCATGGAATAGATTTCTAAGCAAAAATGGCCCTAAAGTGACAACTCAAGGGTAATATACAATCTATAGAATCACAAAGTTTTTGGAGTTGGGAGGAATCACTAATAGTTCAATTTTGCTCTTGTTTATCATCAACACAGATGAGGAAACTCAGGACTTGCCCGTGGTCATATGACAAAAGTGGCAGAATTGAAACTGAAACCCAGGTTTCTGGCCCCCAAATCGAGGGCTCTTCCACTATTCCATGCTGCCTCCATCGGCCTATAGTCCAAGTCCCTTGATAAGGAAATTGCTAACAGGTTTTCTAGGGAGTGTGGAGTCATCAGAGAGATAGTCAAGTAGATCATTTGTCTAATTTCCTGAGATAATTTGTTGGACACTAAAATATTGTGTTTGATGGCATCTTGCTTGGTATCTTGCAATATTTGCAACAAAAGCAAACAGATTTGAGAATTACCAATTTTGTGTTTTAAATTACTTAAAAGCACTCCCACAATTTTAATTTAATTTCTCTTTTCCTCCTTCACTGTGGAGGTGTAAGTAAACATTCTTCCTATTGGATAGGTACATATGGAACAAGAAGTGTTAAGTAATCATGATTCTTTCAGACTTTAATTTTAAAAACATTTTAGAGCGTATTTCTAATAATAAACAATATTAGATTGCCAAAGATTTTTAAAAGTGGCAGAAATCAAGCTGAGGACATTTGAAAGGCTGTAAATCCTTGTGGGGAAAAACATAATTAATTGAGCTAGACCTGCTAGGCCCAGAGCCTTCCAAGTATGACTTCTTTCTTTTGGGGAGCAATTTGGTTTTTATCCTCAACAGTGACCCAGAAGCCCCTGGCAAAGCAGGCTGATTCCCTAGTTCAGCAAATTCATTTTGGTTTTTTCATTCATTGCTTTAGTTGACATTTGATGCAGATGAAAGATATAAGAGCTCAGGCTGGGAATTCCTGAGTTAGGAAAGAAACAAAAAAAAAAAAAGGACACAGGTCAGATAGTGCTTTAGCAAACAAATTTGGCTAAAACTGAGAGCTTCCTCCCCCTCCTGTATTGGGGGAATGTAGGCATATAGTTATTCAGTTAGTTGGTTTTTGTTTTATTTTTGTTTTGTCTTTTTCCATGTTACATAAGAACATTAACATTGTTGTCCTCCACTTTTAAAGTCAGAGCTGCTATCAGAGATGTTCATGTTTATGAGTATCTCTGAAATTACCTGCATTTTGTTTCTGCTTCACCCTTGGGTTTGTAGCCAGGGCCACTCTCTTTAGCTCTCTGTTGCCTCTTCAGCTCATATTTTGCAGCAAAATAGCACCCCTCTGTGCCAGGCTGTCTTCTTAGATGGTGTTCCTCAGCAGGTCACAGCCTCAGAAACTATGCTTCTGTTCCTTTGCTTATGATTGCCCCCGCTTCATTTAAAATACATTGCAAACCTTAAAGTGCTAGCTAATACAGTTATCATCATCATCATCATTATTATTGCTATTATTTAAATTTGCAATGGTGAGATGTATGTCAAAGCCTTAGATCAAGGTGTTTTAACCTTTTTGGTGCCATGGCAGTCTCAGAAAACCTCTGGACCTCCTTCTCAGAATAATGTTTTAAATGCAGAAAATAAAATGCGTAGAATTACAAAGGAAACCAATTGTATTGAAATATAGTTATCAACATATATTTTAAATCAAATTCATGAATCCCAGTTTAAGAAGCCCTGCTTTAGATGAAAAAAAAAACAATGTGAGAAAGAGACAAATTTTAACTGACGTTGTCCTTAATAATTAAGTACAAATCTTAACCAGTCCAGAAAATTGTGTCACTATTTGACCAGACATTAAAGAAAATTTCCATTTGATCACCATCATTATTATCATCATTCATCAACATTAGCCAGTTATTAAATGACCACATATTTATCTTGTGAATTGTGTGTATATGTTTGTTGAGACAGGAAAATAAGTTTTTCAAGCATGGAGTCTTTTGAACACTGCAGTTATATTGGTGTTTTGATTTAGGAACATCTGAGATCACTGGAGGATTGCCATGATTGAAAGATGACGTTTACCTTTAAACTGTTGCAATGCTAAGAAAAATAGTTTAGAGAAATAATGCTTTTAAGTAGATAAATACAAATGTCAAAAATAGAGTTCATTTCCAAATCTCTCCTTAGATCTATAGTAGCACTTCACTTTTGGTGCACAATTCAAAGTAAACACTTTGCTAACTGGTCATTAGCCATAGTACAAAAGTTGTGTGTTAGGTTTTATTCTTCATGTTTACTGTTGATAAGAAATTACAACTCCTATTTCTAACATCTAAATTTTTTGTTTATTTTTGGTTGCATTTGCTATTTCATCACTTTTAATCTGTAAACTATTGCAAAAATCTATTTTAAATCTAGTGTTATCATTTCAACTAGAAGTAGATAAAGGAAATATAACCTGTTACAAGACCTTGTAAATGCCCAGTTAGCTTGTTTCCTACTGTCTGCACCTCTATTCAAGGTTAAAGGTCATCATTTGCTATATATATTCAACCTTCCTACGATGACAGCCCCCCTATAAAGTTCAGTTTCGACGTGTTAATGAACTTTGAGATGGGAGAACATTTTAATACTGTAATGCTTCAGTTATTTGGAGGTTGTTCTTGTGAGAATATCAATCATCCAGCCAGCATTGAACCTCAAAGGAATTTTTTTTTAATTGAAGGCAGCTCACACAGTGAATAAGCAATGCTTTGAGCAGTTAGCAGTGATGAAAATATCTGAAAAGCCCCCAAAACTCAACTTGATGTTGTGATTGTTTGATTTGTTGAATTGAAGTAAAGGAAGGTTCTTGTTGGCCAGCTATAAAGCCAAGCCACACATCACAAAACTCAAGAATCATGAAGAAAAAAGCAGGATAATTAGATAAGATGAAAAAGGAGAAAAAGAAAAAGTGGAGAAGAGAGTGGTGGAAAAAGTTAGCAATATTAAGAGCTAGTTCAGAGTCAGTAGCAGCTAGAAACCCCAGTGGAGATGGCAAATTGACACCCATGACAGGGACGAACAGGAGATCCAGTAACGGGGAGGAAAGGGATAGGCAGCTAGATGAGTTCTGCAACGCGAGGAATCATGGTACTACAAAGGCATAACAATCATAGGTCAGCTCTTAAAAATACGGCAAACAGCAATGAGACACGTTAGGAACACCTAAGGTCCTTGCTGTACTCACTGCAGCAGAATAAAATCCCTGACATTTGTAATGAAGAAAAGATTAAATGATTTTCAGCAAAATATGTGCAGGAAAGCACAGATTACATTTTGGAAAGATTGCCATCTGAAATAGTTAAAATGAAGGGTCTGCCACATAAAAAATTGAGCTTGGATTCTTTAGAAAAATGTGTTGTGTGCAAGAATGCATTCCTCATTTGTGGCAGATAACTACAGCTTTACTGAATCAGTTTTGTTCAGTGCTGGATATGAGCTTTCTTGCAGAAGCCATAATTAGAGTCTCTCTCTCTCTCTCTCTCTCTTTTTTTTTTTTTTGCACCTTTGGCTCTTGTCCCACAGGGGAAATGGCTTCAGAAGCATGAGTAAATATGGATGAATTCTCATGATTCAACAAGGATTTATTGTGTCAAACTACTTGCCAATAAGATTTGGGATAATGGGAGAAAGAATCAGACAGAGAAAAAGACAGAAAAAGCCAGCTAAGAAAAAGACAGAAAATACAGGAAGGAAAAAAGAAGAAAGGGAAATGAAAGGAAGTACAGACTAAGTAAAAAGGGACTGACAATGCAAAACTTCCAGCATAGCAAAAAAAAAAAAAAAAGCCTTCCTTAGAAATTAGTGATGTTATGGGATTTACCTTTTTTTAATTCCTTGCAAAAATGTCTTCCTCTTATAAATTTCACTTTCCAGAACTATAATTTGTTTGCTTCATACATTACAATATAATGTTTCTTTCTTTTAGTTGACATTGGCTTCAAAAAGGGAAATAATTCCCCAACCCCAATGGTACCTTCCTGAGTAAGAACCATGACTTGGCCTAGCAGAAAGGACATCATGCTGTTCAATGATAGTCAGCTATAGACTGACTCAAACCAAAAGGCAATCATTGGCTTTTTAGTTTCTCATATTCATTGGGATCTGAGAGGAAAGAGAAAAATAGAAAGGAAGAAGCAAAGAAAAAAATAAACACTATTGCAGTTAAAATGGATCATTTCTTTTTCTTATTGTATTTTATTGCTGTTCTAGCGGGGAGCCCTAGCTGCCTTCCCTTTGTTTTCTCGGAAGTGATGGGGGCAAAATTGACATTGAAGGCTAATGACAGGAGAATAGATTACACTGGTGTTTTGGGCTGGGCCATAATTTGGCCCATGACACCTGGGATACTGAGATGCAAAGACTCTTAGTTCCTTTTTTCATCCCTGGATAACCTGACTAGAGTAATGAAATGAACATCCCTCAGTGACTAGGCTCTCTGGATACCTCAGCATTATCAGCCTTGAGCCTGTTTTTCTAACTGGCTCTGGTGGATGATTTTTGGTTTCTTTGTTTTCTGTTTATTTTTATCTACAGCACTAAAATAGTTGGCTGTGATGACGCGCCAATAGCAAGGAGGAAGGAGACTAAGAACAATCAGAATGAAGAAAGTATATATTTTTTAATAAACCATGATAACCATTCAAAGAGAGAGAGAGCTCTTTAGGGTTAAAAATATGATGAACTAAGTATATTCAAGTAGTTGGTGTGAAGTGTTCATTTAAATTCTGGTTTGGTTTTTGTTCTTATAAAGTTCTGAGATATAATAATAATAATAATAATAATTACCTGTATTGACTACTTTATCATTTTTCATGTCACTTTTCATAATCAGCTCATTTGATCTTACCAGCAACCCTGTTAGGTTGGGCAGGTATTATTTTATTCATTTGAAAGGTTAGGAAACCATGTCATAAAAAATTTTGGTGACTTGCCCAAGTTCATAATAGAGAATAGCAGAGCTGAGAATTCTCACTTCTAATCCAGTGTTCTTTCCATTACACTGTGCTTCCAATTAACAGAGATTTCTCCCTACCCCCTTTTTTTCCAGGTTGGGTCTTTTGCCCAATCACTTTTAGAAACTAAAACTATTGCTTCCATACCAACTCTGTTGGGGAGAGACTTGCTAAAGATCTATTTTTAATGTAGTGCTTTGGAAATATAATAATAAATTGCAGGTATGAATGGGTTGAAACTGTTTTCTTCAATGTAAGTCTTCACAAGCTTGCTTGTATTTTCACAGAGGACAGTTATGGGATGGATGGGAAGGCTAAGCTGCCAAACTTCACTGAAGATATCAACTGGCAAGGACTGGAAGATTTATACAGTGTAAATGAAAGTTCTTATGAATACAGATACAACTATAAACTGAGTCTGGTTGACTGGACTAATTACTTGAAGGATGTAGATAGAGTGTTTGCACTGCTGAACAGTCACTATGAGCAAAATAACACAAACGACACTAAAACCGCTTTAAAATATGGGTTCTTGAACCCATCATCTATACCACCTGTTCTAGAGGAAATGACCTCCACTGAGTCAGATGAAGACATAAGCAGTATGGAGGCAGAAGAGTGGCTGCTGATTGCACCACTAGACTTGGGAACCCTGGATTTGAATCCAACACCATTAAATCAAGAGAGGAAACTTGAATGGAATAATGATATTCCTGAGATGAGTCATTGGAATTCCGAACACTGGAAATATCGTCATACTGAAAAATGGATGGGGGATAAAGAATTAGATAGCTTTGAAATGGATTTCAGTGGCAATGGTTTAACAGAGCTGCAGTCAACAAATATTCTACAGCCCATTAGCAGTCATCAGAAAGAATCACACCAAGACAATGACCAGAAAGAGGATATATTTGAAGATCAGGTGTATCTTCTTGTGAGCTCTGATGGATCATCAATTCATCGGGTCACAAACACATCCAATGTTGATCAGCCAATTGGATCCAGCAAAATGGAGACAACTTTGAACACCACCGAGGATAATCATACAAGGGAGAATTTGCAAAACCTAGAAGGCAGTGGTTCCTCCCCACTGCCCTCTAATTAGTTGAAATCGTAAACTTATACACAGTATTTTTAAAAATTTTATTAGCAAACTAATAAAGGCAATCATGTCAACACACATTCCAAGCTTTTTAGAGCTACATGTTTGTGGTTGTAATTAGTACATGTATGTATGTTTGTGTCACAGACCCACTAAAACATATATATTTTTTTTAATTCTTGATTTTCCACAAGTAGAGAAAGAGGTTTTTTGGGTGTTAAAACAGTATTACCCTTTGAAGGTCATAAAAACACACCATGAAAAGTTATTAAATCAAGATGCCAAGAATTTGAGTTGCATAGCTTCCAAAAGTTGTCATCATCAATGAATGTCTTAGTATACTCGCACTGCCTACATAATGTGTTTCTGATCAATGATTTTTAACCACTGGAATTTCTTAATGTCACAGGTCAGAGTAAAACAATATTGCACTTTGAGATCCTTATTCCCTGTGTCATTTCTTCATTATTTTACATGCTTTTCTTTGCCTTACTTTTTGCGCATTGTGATATCATACCATAGGGTCACAGGAAAGAGATACAGGATGGATTGCAAATGAAAAGTATATTGCTTTAATACTGTTTTGCCAGAAAAATATTGCATGTTTCCACTTTGACTTGATAAAATTGAATAGCAGGACATGGTGGCTAAGAGTATTCAGAGATTTTATAAAACAAAGGATGAAAATTGGCTGTTCCCTCCATTTAAGGGAAGGTATCAAAGTATTTATCACATCCTTAAAATGTCTAAATTTGAGTATATTCTTGAAGACATCTTATAAAAGACTTTTCTTCATTTAGAAAGGTTTGTTTTATTGACATGAATAAGGGAGTTAAGAGATGAGTTATATGACAGAAAATCTGTTCAATAAAATAAGCTCATGAATGTTTCCTGATTTTAACACACACATGCAACACACATGCACCATGAGTTTAATTTCATAGTATTTTGTTTTATTTTCATTTTTATGAGCTTCACCAAATACTGACATTTTTTAAAGTACCATGCTCAATTAATTGCCTTTGAAACTCTATGCTCTTGAATTCCTATTATTCTCCCACTGTAGATTTTCACATGCCAACAAGAGAATTACCTCATTCATTTTCTTCACCACCATACCCAACCTCTTCTGAAAAGTTTCCTATCTGTTATTTTGTTTAGCGTACTGGTCTTCTGTTTTGTTTTACACAGCTCAAGAACTAAAGCAAAAAAAAAAAATCTGCTTTGTTTTTAAGGTTCTTTTTTTTAAGATTCAGTTTCTTTTAGTTGAATCTTTAATTTTAAAAAACTGTTGTTATCATAGACTTTGTAAATATGTTAAAAAAAAAAAACTAACTGTTACATATCTGATGTATGTGTCATTGGCTGAATGACAGAACAAAAGTATTTATGGTCATGAATGATGCTATTTGTAAATAGATCTCCCGTCATTAGGAAACCTACTGTGTTTTTAAATCTTGTATAATAATCTGTGATACTTTTATAGAACAATTCTGGCTTCAGGAAAGTCTAGAAGCAATATTTCTTGAAATAAAAAGGTGTTTTAATTTTATCTGCTTCAGATAAATTCACATGACCAAGTTTTGTAGTAAACATATTTCTGCAATAAACTGATCTCATTTTACATTACTTAAATCCCAGTCAGACCTCAAATCATTGTCTTCTATGAGGACTAACTAGCAATGAATTTCCAGGTTGAACATGATGATTTCCTTGAAGTTGCTTAATGGCTGTTTTGGGGATACAGGACAAGCAGAACAGTCCTTGAGAACTCTGGAGTTGCTCAATGAACAGAAGTCAGAATAGCAAATACATTTTACTCTGTTGGGAGCCAGGATTAGAAAGAAGAACTTGCAAACATTAGTTCTATTCTGCACTTAGCAAGATTTGAGCTACTTAGAAGCTTCTCCCTTTCTGCCTTGCTCTCTGGTTTAAGGTACTAAGGAATTGTAAATTATCCAAAAGGATAAGAGAAGACAGGGGAAAAAAGGACTTGGACAGTTATTTCTTGGATAATTAATGGGAGATTCTAGTTTCCCTGGGGGTACAGTATTCAGGGGAAATGTTTAACATTTCCCCAGAGAGATACCAGTCTACTTTTTTCCTAGCAACTTGATTTTATAATGTAGCCTCCCCATTGTTTAAGACTAATATTGTTATCCTGAAGACGTCATAAGATTTTTAGAGTTGGAAGGAGAAACTGAAGCCAAGATTAATGACTCGGAAAAGAGGCCATACTGAAAACAGGCTCAAGGTTTTTGGCATCTGGGAGTCTCACAGAAGAGGTATGACGTGACAGGGAGCATTACTGTACATAAGAATTATGCACTAAAGACATCCCTGAAATAGTTAATAGGGCACAGAGAAATGTGGAATTTACTGTATGGGGAGGAGGCCATGCCCTTTTCCTCTTTCTATACTCTCATTGACTGATGTAAGGGCAGACTGGCCACCCGGCAGCAGGGAACCCAGGAAGGATAATGAAAGCCAGTTACATCCTTCCTTCTTCCCTTCCACTTTGCTGATTCAGTACTGAGGAGTGTTAGAGACCAGTCTAAACATACAGTTCATTGCTGCTCTGAAAATACTTTAGTGATAGCGGAAACTGATATATTCTCAAGTGGCCGTACTTAGTATCTCGCATCCTGCTTCAGACATAGGGACCAGTCTAGAGTACTTCAAATTGAAGTCCCCCATATGGGATGGAGTTTGATGCAATTTAAGAGGCAGCCTGGCATAGTGAATATGATAGTGCACGAGGAATCAGGAAGCTCCAGGTTCAAATCCCATCTCAGAAACTTCTCTCTGTGTGTCCCTCAACAAGGCATTTACTCTATGCCTCAGTTTCCTGACCTATAATGTGAAAAAGTTGTACTCAGTGGCCTTTAAGATCCCAGATGGCTCTAACTCAAAGAATCTGTGCATTAGGATTAAAGGAATTTGGACAATAGGGAGAGCAAAAGACTTCACTCAGATACTCTATCTCATCAGACTCTTAAAAGACTAAAGTAGACTTAACTCCAAAGTTCATTAGTATATTTTCTAGATATCAGTATAAATCAATCAGTTTACCTCCTTTTAAAAAAATCTCCTCTTTGTTTGCTATTGCCTGAAATTTATTTACAAAGAGATGACATCTTTCATTCTACTTCATATAATTATGGAATCACTGAGTCTTGTAACACATGCCCGAAATCCATTCTACCTTATTCTAGATATGTGATCATTCAGCCTTGGCTAGAAAATCTCCATAAGTGGGGAATTCACTACCTCTTTAAGCAGCCAGTTTCAGCTAGGAACAGATTTAAGGGCCAGGAAATCTTCCTGATTTCAAACTAAAATCAATACTTTAAGATATCCATGGTTCCAACTATATCTGTAGTCTCCACTGTCTCAGGGCTTGAAAACAAGAAGGCTTGGAGGGGCTAGAAGAGGCTGCCACTGGTCAAGGGAGGACCAGAGACAAAGCGAGGAATTTAAGTGGCTTGGCCCTATTTATCTACATCTAGGCCTAAACAAATAAAAACTATAACAAAATTATTAACAAACATCCCCAAGCACACTTTGGGGTCCGGGCACAGAATAGGTAGGCATTTAATAAATATTTATTTAATGAAATCCATCCTGGCCCAGCCAAAGTGTTGATCCTTTGGTTCAGAGTAGATGAAGCTGGGCTGGGCTGGCAATAAACCCAGTAAAATGTGGCTGGGCACAAAGTAAAGGGATAAAGGCCACTTGTGTCTGAAATTTTATACCCTGCTCCCCTTTCTACATCCCCTAAGGCTGGGTTTTCTGAGGCTGTTTTCCACCTAAGTAGCAATTATTTCCCCTCTCAGGCACAAGGTGTCACTGTAGCGCAACAGGAAAGCAAACTTAATTCTCACTGCCAGGGCGACTCAGTACTCCTGTAAGAGCTGTCTCTGATCCTTGTTTTTAAAGTAACAGCACTTCTCTTGATGCTGCCATAAAACAGAAATGTATCCGGAAGAACCTGATCCACGCTGGTTTCTCTGTTTCTCCTTCACATAACATCTTCGTCATTCTAGAAAGCCACAGAATATTTTTGTTCGCTTTGGGCTGATTCATATTGGTTTTAAGAGTTGGAACTACAATAAGTCTCTGAAATTAAATGTAAAAATAAACACTAAATATTGATCTCCTAATTGGCCAATGATCTGGAGGAATTTAAAATATTTTTTGGCTTGGGGAGTACAGCAGCTAAAGAGGTGGGCTGCATTGTTAGCTGTTCTGGAGAGGAAGAAAGGCAGCAGCCACTTGGGAATATGGTTTTGACCAATTCCCATGACATTGATG